GAACCATATTATAAATTGTTCTGGCACACTCCTCAAATTACACAGCTCCCACATAGATAATTGAATTGCAAATTTGTGTAAATTTGGGCGTCAATTCCAATCCTGTTTTTTTTTCATTACGTTAGTGATGTTAAATTACACGTTTTTTTTAAAGTGCGTAATATTACGTGTAAAATTACCAATTGTTTATGTTTTTTACGTAACTTACAAATATTTTTGTAAAATTACCTGTCATTTATGTTTTTTATGTTTTTTTTTAATATTCCATAAACATTTTTGAATTTTGTGAGTGTTTGAAAACAAAAACACTTGTTAAATGTTAAATTATATATTTTGATGTATTAAATAAAATACCCAAGCAGTAGGTATTTCGCCATCACGCGTCGTTTGGAGGAAGAAGTTCCAGATCGTGATTAGATGGTGTATCATCTTCATTAAACCAAACTAGATTCAACGGTGACTCGTTTACGTTGGTAGTACCGTTGATGGTCTGTTGTAGTACCGATCAAAACGTATCTTATAGGTATTACATTTATGTAACTTACAAAATTTACGGTTTTTTAAATAAAAAACGTAAGTTACGTAAATTTCATAAAAGGCATAAATTACATAAAAAAACCGACCTCTTGTAAGTTACGCGTAATATAACCGTTTTTATGTAACTTACAAATCGTTATTTCACAATCCACATTACTATAGAAACCAATTTCGAAATAAAATTCAAAGGGCTGTACCTAACTTTTGAACTAGTAGCCCAATCTTGGAACTGTTTGAAATTATGGATTCTACAGGCCACATTCTATAAGAAAATTGTTTTTCCGTGTCGATCTGAGACAATTTTTTTTTCGGAGCTCAAAAAAAGGCAGTGTATAACCTTCCTTTTTTACCAAAAATCGACTGCACCAAAATTTCTCGGGAAAACACATTTTCTTATTAATTTTGGTGCGTAGAATCCAAAACAATTCGTACTTCTTCGATCAGACTTCTCAATCAAAAGTTATAGACTAGAAACCAATTTCGAAAGAAAATTCAAAGGGCTGTAACTTTTGAACTAGTAGCCCAATCTTGGAACTGTTTGAAATTATGGATTCTACAGGCCACATTCTATAAGAAAATTTTTTTCCGGGTCGATCTGAGACAATTTTTTTTTCGGGCTCAAAAAAAGGCAGTGTATAACCTTCCTTTTTTACCAAAAATCGACTACCCAAAATTTCTCGGGAAAACACTTTTTCTTATTAATTTTGGTGCGTAGAATCCAAAACAATTCGTACTTTTTCGATCAGACTTCTCAATCAAAAGTTATGGACTAGAAACCAATTTCGAAAGAAAATTCAAAGGGCTGTAACTTTTGAACTAGTAGCCCAATCTTGGAACTGTTTGAAATTATGGATTCTACAGGCCACATTCTATAAGAAAATTTTTTTTCCGGGTCGATCTGAGACAATTTTTTTTTCGGGGCTCAAAAAAAGGCAGTGTATAACCTTCCTTTTTTACCAAAAATCGACTACACCAAAATTTCTCGGGAAAACACTTTTTCTTATTAATTTTGGTGCGTAGAATCCAAAACAATTCGTACTTTTTCGATCAGACTTCTCAATCAAAAGTTATAGACTAGAAACCAATTTCGAAAGAAAATTCAAAGGGCTGTAACTTTTGAACTAGTAGCCCAATCTTGGAACTGTTTGAAATTATGGATTCTACAGGCCACATTCTATAAGAAAAACTTTTTTCCGGGTCGATTGAGACAATTTTTTTTGAGGGCCTCAAAAAAAGGCAGTGTACAACCTTCCTTTTTTACCAAAGATGGACTGCACCAAAATTTCTGGGGAAAACACTTTTTCTTATTAATTTTGGTGCGTAGAATCCAAAACAATTCGTACTTTTTCGATCAGACTTCTGAATAAAAAGTTATAGACTAGAAAAGAAACCAATTTCGAAAGAAAATTCAAAGGGCTGTAACTTTTGAACTAGTAGCCCAATCGTGGAACTGTTTGAAATTATGGGTTCTACCGGCCACATTCTATAAGAAAAATTTTTTTCCGGGTCGATTTGAAACAATTTTTTTTGAGGGCCTCAAAAAAAGTCAGTGTACAACCTTCCTTTTTTACTAAAAATCGACTGCACCAAAATTTCTGGGGAAAACACATTTTCTTATTAATTTTGGTGCGTAGAATCCAAAACAATTCGTACTTTTTCGATCAGACTTCTCAATAAAAAGTTATAGACTAGAAAAGAAACCAATTTCGAAAGAAAATTCAAAGGGCTGTAACTTTTGAACTAATAGCCCAATCTTGGAACTGTTTGAAATTATGGGTTCTACCGGCCACATTCTATAAGAAAAACTTTTTTCCGGGTCGATTTGAGACAATTTTTTTTGAGGGCCTCAAAAAAAGGCAGTGTACAACCTTCCTTTACAACCTTCCTTTTTTTACCAAAAATCGACTGCACCAAAATTTCTCGGGAAAACACTTTTTCTTATTAATTTTGGTGCGTAGAATCCAAAACAATTCGTACTTTTTCGATCGGACTTCTCAATCAAAAGTTATGGACTAGAAACCAATTTCGAAAGAAAATTCAAAGGGCTGTAACTTTTGAACTAGTGGCTCAATCTTGGAACTGTTTCAAATTATGGATTCTACAGGCCACATTCTATAAGAAAATGTTTTTTCCGGGTCGATCTGAGAGAATTTTTTTTTCGGAGCTCACAAAAAGGCAGTGTATAACCTTCCTTTTTTACCAAAAATCGACTGCACCAAAATTTCTCGGGAAAACACATTTTCTTATTAATTTGGGTGCGTAGAATCCAAATCAATTCGTACTTTTTCGATCGGACTTCTCAATCAAAAGTTATGGACTAGAAATAGTGATGTTAAATTACACGTTTTTTTTTAAAGTGCGTAATATTACGTGTAAAATTACCAATTGTTAATGTTCTTTAATTAAAAAACGTAAGTTACGTGAATTTCATAAAAGACATAAATTACATAAAAAACCGACCTCTTGTAAGTTACGCGTAATATAACCGTTTTTTATGTAACTTACAAATCGTTATTTTACAATCCACATGACTAATTTACGTAAATCAAAATTATGCACTTGAAATGAGTTATTTATGACCTCATGGATGTTATCTCAAAGCCATCATTTTTTACACTGCAGTTAAATTGTGATTATACCGTTGATTGATCAATCAACGATTATACTTTATTATATCAAAGAAAAAAACATTCAAATATAAGAAATCATATTCATGGGGTACTTGTTCAAGAACAATGTGTACTACCCATAAAACACATGTAAATTGTAGAACGTTAATTCATTACTTTATCGCTTTCTGCTACATTATCCAATAAAAAATCCGTTAGTTTCATTACGAACAATTATAGAAGCATAGGTAACTTCCGTATGTCTCACTGCGATATTCTGTGCCACAAGCATAACCCAAAAATACCATCGGGTTTACCAAGAAAAAGTATGCGACTTATTCTTAATTTTATTCGTTATTTTAAACGAGAAGGAGATAATGGCGGCCACTAAGTAATATGAGAATTGGTTTCATTTCACAGAGAGTGCAAGTTTTAAAAGAGAAAGACACATTTAATGGTTTCAAAAGTTCTTTAGGAAAAAAAGCAAATATTGGATTCGCTATCAACAAGATAACCCAAAGAGAGGTTTAATGGAGTTACCCAATATGGCATTATGGAAAAAATATGCAATATGAGACTGGACGCCAATGTGTCTTCTTGGATGACACGTGGGTATTTGAAAATGGAATACAAACATAAAATGTTGCGTACGAAAAGAAAAATTTGTCCTTAAAACTCTGTCCGGGTCGCACAATGGATTCGAATAAACACACAATTAACGACAAGAATTGATTCTGAGACACATGAAAGAATGAAAACAAAATCGCCGAAAGAAAGAAAAGCTTAGAAAGTATGTTTGGACATAATACCTCGCACGCAGACGGTCGACAAATAAAATGATGAATCTTAAATTACTTACAGCTTTTACTTAATAATCCAAATAATCAGGAGCTTACTCTATAAAGCAACTTTGCAAGTTTTCTTCTTGTTTCCCAAAATATATTAGTCAACGTAGCATTTCGGGTGCTACTTTACATATTTTGAATGTTATCATGTGTCAAAATAGCCTTCATGGACCCAAATATTATCTAAAAAGTGCAAAGATCAAAGTTGCAAAGTAACTTGATGATGAAATACGCTCCCGGTCGCTCAAGGTTTGCGTACTAGGAACACTTAACCACACAGAAACGCTCACAGGTTCAGAACTTCACTTTTTCTTTATAACCCAGAATTAGACGGCAAACAAATCGGGCTTGATGAGTAAGATTAGATGTCTCACTTAAAGCATACTATCGCAATTAAATAATTTACAAAAGCGCTAAAATTTAAAACAAAAAGTACGCAGTTACAAACAATTCTTAAAGGAAAAGTAAATACGCAAATACAAATTCAAGAAAAAAACTGTGCTTATACGGTTGTGACGGTTTTCACAGTTGAACAGTTTAAATAAAAATTTAAATTAATTTTGGTGCTTTAGTTCAAATTGAGATAAAAGTCAAAGTAACAAAAGGGTCATCACATCTGAATGCTTGATTTGGCAAGAGATTGAAATTATACTCGTAAATCATTAAATGAATTAGTTAATTAGTAATCCCCCTCATTTACACTTAAAAGGTTGAAATATCCTCATACACAGGGTGTCCCGTCATTATTTGCGGTGTTTGGACATAACGTCTATATGGCGTCGTTTATACAACAATGCGATTGTCTTTTTCTTCGCTTTTTAATTTATTCAATTTTCCGATAAAGAGTTTATCTGGCGAAATTTAATTACGCACGTTTTTGACAAAGACATGGAGGTGTTTTACAATGTGTGCCGTAATTCGGCGTATGTGGGGACGTTCCTTCGAAGCTGGTGTTATCTAGGACAGAGAAAAATGGCTGCAATAGCGCACACTAAACGACAAACGACAACGAATTTAAAAGTGTCTTTAATAATTGCGATGTCGTCACATTTAATTTTACTGTAATCAACAACTGTAACTTATTTTTTGCTAGAAAGGTGTCCTACAGCACAGTTCATGAAATTGACAACGCGCTCGCCGGCCGTTTTGCCTTCCTCGTTTTTGCAAAGTTCGTAAGTCTCTTCAGCGGTCTTCTGATGATCGACAACGTCGGGTTTGTAAAATTCTACCGGGCCTTTCACCATGTAGGGTATGATGGTATCCTTAACAAATTTTCCATCCTCAAGAAATTTATACTTTCTAAACGTGCACTCGAAGAATGAATATACGTGAGGGTTCTTTCGGACGATTATATTGTGTTCGTCCAAAATGTCTAGTAAAGCGTCATCGCTCAACTTGCCTTCTTCTCTGCACTCCAAGCCGATTTGGCCACCAAAAGGATTGGGTCGTTCGTGCGAGCGGGACTGAAATTATCATCAATTTGGTTGAAAGTAAGCTTTCGCAACTCACCTGAACTGAGGCAAAGAGAAAGACCAAACACCAAAAAATCGCCTGCATCTTGACACTTTTATCTGTTTATGGGGAATACAATCATGACCGCGGTCAGAGATAATTTATAGCCGATCTTTGACTCATTGCTATTTTAATTTGGTCACAACATTTCGGCTGATAATTTCTGTTTGTGTTGCTAAGTGGAAACTGTTTTGATTAGATTAGAATCCATAATTCATTTATCGGCTCCAAAAATTATACACTGTATCATTGAACTGTCTTGAACCTTTTCCAATTAGGCTTACTTAAATTACACATAAAAATGGAAAACTTTATTTTTTATTTCAAATTCTTTACACATTACCGCAATGGCCATAAACCATAAACTACAATACCTCAAGTTTGAAAAACGTTGTAGATATCCAGAGATTCTGCGTGATGAATACATTACCCTAGGTAAGGTCAGCATTCTTTGGTAATTGCACCACATTGTCGAAATATTCAACAAAACCCAACAGTGTTGATAGTGGGAGAATATAACCTTCGTAAGGTCAAAGGTCTGGGTTTACCTTAACGAAGCACCCAGTTTCCGCTGTGAGATTAACCAATTTTAAGGACCACCCGGTACATGAACGCGCTGGGTCAAAACGCGGTATAAATTTGGGGCACTTCGTTACGAGAAACGGTAGCTTTTGGACCTATGTAGTTTTTTACCTTAATTTCTAGCCTCGTGTTTTAGCCGCCGTAAGGAAATCCAGATGCTGTAACTAATTTGCCGTTTGTAACCGTTCCCGGGGAGATAGATATTTTAATTATTCTTTTTGGTACCTTTCTCGCCAATAAATATGAGCCCAGTTTATTTTGGTTACTTATGGTTGTTGAAATGGGACTCCCTTTTCAATCGTATACTCTTTAAAACTAGAAAGCATTTTATCTCTTATTTTGTGCTAGTTTAGGATTTTCCAATTATTGAGTTTTTCAATTTTTAAAAAGCGACCTTCACATAACATACTCGTTGCTCTCATTTTAAGTAATTTTTTATGTTCCATACAAATCTTGTGCTCCTATGGTTTTTGAGTTACTGTAAAACGGAGCGACGTGTTGACATGAAGACCTTGTTTTTCACTGTCTATGCTCCGACCAGTTTCAAACAAAAATTAATGTATATTACTTTGGGGCATTAGCTACCAGATTAAAAACCTGCTAAAGCTAAATTTCGCTTACACCCTTTATAAAAAATCCTTAAATGCTGTCTTTCAAGTTATGGAGCGGCTTGAAAATTGCTTTTTTCTTCAAACGTCAATAGAACATGACATTTCTCAACTGATTTCGTTTGACATTTTATACGTGATGTGCGTTGGCATTGGCGAGTACGTTTTATACGCTGCACATTATTATGCTCGCCAGAAGAGATTGCCGGTCACAGAACACTTGGTGCCGGTCTACAATCGTATGATTTAATTCCTTTTTCCTTAATTCTCTTGTCTGTGCATTTTCCCCATTGCATTTGGCACCATAAATATTTAATTGCTTTTAGCCCTTTTATTCTTTTCTCCCTTCATTTCCATCCTATTTCCATTTGCCGTCTATTTCCCTTCCCAAATCTCATCATCTTCGACTTTTCTATAATTAGCTCCATTCCTTTCCTTTCCCAATACGTTTCCATTGTTCCCATAATTTCCTTCATCTATTCTACCTCTGTTGTCATAATCACTGCGTCACCGCGCATGCCAGAGACCACATCTTTCTTCTTCCCACTACTATATCCCTCCACCTTGACCCTGTCTTAATACTTTTCCCATGTCTTTTACGTAAAAATTAAATAAGGTGGGGCTAAGCGAGCATTCCTGTCTTAGTCCTTCTCCTTCTTCTATTCGTAACTCTAATTTTTTCACTCCATATAGTTCCTTGATTGTGTCTTTGTCAATTTTCCCATCTTCCATCATCTTTTATACCTTCTCCCTTTCCACTCAGGAAAGCGCTGCCTTCAAGTCCATAAGGAACACCTTTCCGCCCTTTTTTTGCAATTCCTTTTCCACCAATTAATACGTATAATGTAGTCGATCGTTCCCCTCCCTTTCCTCCAACATTCCATTACCGTTTCTAGTCGTTCATTCGCATAAATTCTATCCGCACTAGTCATTATATTAATTTCCCACACAATCTTTGTACCTTCTTTTGAAAATCAGCACAATTACCCCTTCCTTAGTTCCTTCCATTCTTCGCGTAAACCCCCTCCGTTCCTTGCCCTGTTTAATATATTTTTCGTCCTTTCCTTAACCCTGTCTATGCCTCATTTCTTATGTCGTCTCTCCTTGCCGCTTTCCCTTTCTGCTCTTTCTCCTCGGTCCCCTCTCTTGTTAACCCATCTCCTTCAGCCCCCTCTCTTCTTACCTCTTTCATAGGCTCCTCATTCTCCTGCTTTCCGTGTAGTAACTCCCTTCTATTTGTATCTTCCTCCTACTTGTTTTATTTCTCCTTTTCCTCTCTTTCTTTCTCCAGTATTTCTCTATATCTATTTATCTCTTCTGTTTAATATCACCATTAAACAGGAAAGGGCGCTGGCCAAATATTAGAGAAATAGTTAATTGGGAAAGAAAGTAGGATTAAGAAATAAAATTACATGGCATTATGTGTAAATGAGGACAATTTGCACACAACATTGACTAGGTTAGTTTTCAATTTGCAATTAACAGATTGCAATTAATTTGCCAATTGTTGTATAAAATTTTGTATATAAACAACGTAAAATGTAGAATAAATTACTATTGACACAAAAGTCGTTTAGTCACTCTACGTGAGCACGGGGCTTCCAAGTCTTTAAAATTCGGTGCATGAGACTGTGTACCACCCTGTGCTTACACTAAATAATATTGGGAGTAATCTCAGTATTAAACATCTTCTGTACACTCTTTGTCCCACCACATCCTTTTTTTCTTTCTCCTTGCCTTCAGTTGTTTTCCACGTTATTGTTTTTTTAATTCTCTCCTTTGCAAAACGATTTTGACATTTTCTCTGTTTGTCCTCTTCAAGTGTCACTTTGATCCTATATAGAGATTTTGAAAAGCGTTTTCATTTATTAACCTGTATGTCAAAAATTGCGAAAATTGTCATGGTGTCCTCATGACAGAAGTGTAGGAAAATTTCAAATGCTGCTTTCATTATACAGGGTGTTCATTTCAAAACCTTCCACCCTCAATGTCTGGATATCGTTGTATTTTCTAAAAAATCTTAAATGGAAAATGTATGTACATTATTTGAAAAGTCTTTATTTACCCGACGCATGTCTTTAAAATCTAGCGATCCGCTGTCGAAATATTTAGAAAAACAATTACGATTTAAAAGTTCTGATTGGCCTAATGGGCATCTCTCATCATTTGATGATTGTTGATCTTTCTCTTGTGGAACTAGTGCGCCGTCGGGGAAATGCTGCACTTATTGTAAGTGGTTACAAACGTTTTACTATCTTTTGCAATTACTTAACGCTCCTTTCGTGTAATAACATCCTGCCAATGTTTAAAAAACAAAAAAGAAAACGTGTTTTGGTCAAAGTTGTTAAAACACAAAACATGATATTTTTAAACTAATCTTGCACTACGTCATAAATTATCTTAAGTATTCCGTGATAAGTTATCTTAGTATGTAAGTATAAGGCATTGACCAAAACGAAATGCGTGTATGTAAAAATTCAATCAACCACAATGCCGTCTGTTGTATTGTGCCTGTTCTTAGTAATGTGTGCGCTTCCTCAGGTTTGTTATAATTTTTCTATTCTACCTTATTCGGTTACCGATAATTTCAGATATTGTCTCTTGAATTTCCTAAGCACTTTGAAAGCCAGGAAATAAGGAATTGTGAAACGGAGGTTAATCCAGATAAGAATTATAATTTTTTGGACGAAAATTTGGTCATAAAGAATGATCCCCGGGCTCGTTCCTTTGTTGGATGCGTCTTTAGAAAGTATAAAATGATTCACGGGGGCGAATTTGTTAAAGATACCACTATTGATTATTTGGTGGAAAAGACGGTGCCCTTTTTCAAACCTCACGAGAAGGATCCTCGTCACCTTGCCGAAGAGGCGTTCGAACTATGCAAGGGTGTAAAGGGCGCAGGAATTGGTGAACGGGCAGTGAACTTTTCAAATTGCGTAAATGCTCACTTCAAAGCATAAATTTTGAGGTTTCTTATTAGTAATCATTTTTGTAGGTTAATGGTTAGTATCTTATTCTATAATGTTTCATAAATAAACTTTAATTAAAGAAGTTGTAGGCGATTCGGCTCTTGTACCCATGCTTTTCTTCTTGTGTGAGACCACTTTTCAGATCAGACAAAAAGAAAAACCGATCCTTGGTAGTTTTTATTACAAAATAGCACCTAGAAAGGAGACACACCCTTAAAATGAGGTACCTACATATGACTTATTGTTATTCGAAAATCTTCCCTCTCAGACTTTTCTCTTAATTTTTCATCGGTTTCTCTTCGGGATTACTTTTTGGTCCTTATCTACCTGGATATTACCTACGCAAAACCTGAATGGCATTGCATTTTTACCGGGACCCCCCATCTCAGTGAGATTAGCATTGGCGGCGTCACGTGAGACATTACTACCTACTACTTTCTAAAGTATACCTACGTAACCTGGTGATCTACTTACATAGGTTTGTATTGTTGTGATCGTTGACCGGGTTTGTTACATGGTTTTGGAAGTATTTTATTCATACCAAAGGAGCACAGTTTATACAGCCCCGCGTGGCGATTTCATTCCAAAAACAATACCCCCAAATTAAAACTTGGTTATGTACTGACAATTCAACTCATGTATAAAAAATCGCATAAGCCGCAGTGAAATTGTCACTTTGACAGCGGCAAAAGTTACCTGCAACTTTTCCAGCGACAAACGCACTAGTGGTTTTTTCACTTATTCGTTTCGAACCAATTATCGCATTATCCTTTCCCATATGACTGGTTTGACATCTGTCAATAATTGATTAGTTTGGTGAATTTCTTGTTCGTTAAATTGTCCTGCCGAATTACACTCGAGGTTTGTATTTAAACCGAGGAAATTTGGGTTGTGGCAATTCAAATCTGTTTCCTTTTAGCCATTGGACTCGAAAAACTGTCAACCTAAAAATGCTCCACCTGCGGTGTCGCATTTTTATTAGTTGACAGTTTTTCTCGTCTAATTGCTAGGCAACAGATTTTCATTACCTAAACAACCCAAATTTACTCACTTATAATTGCACAAGAGGTTTGTATTTTACCGAGTAAATTTGGGTTGTTTAGGTAATAAAAATCTGTTGTCTAGTAATTAGACGAGAAAAACTGTCAACTAATAAAAATGCGACACCGCAGGTGGAGCATTTTTAGGTTGACAGTTTTTCGAGTCCAATTGCTAAAAGGAAACAGATTTGAATTGCCACAACCCAAATTTACTCGGTTTAAATACAAACCTCGAGTGTAATTCGGCAGGACAATTTAACGAACAAGAAATTCACCAAATTAATCAATTATTGACAGACGTCAAACTAGTCATATGGGAAAGGGTAATGCGATAATTGGTTCGAAAATGAATAAGTGAAAAAACCACTAGTGCATTTGTCGCTGGAAAAGATGCAGGTAACTTTTGCCGCTGTCAAAGTGACAATTGCACTGCGGCTTATGCGATTTTTTATACATGAGTTGAATTGTCGGTAAAATACAAACCTCTTGTGCAAATATAAGTGATAATTTCACGTGTGGTATTTTAGCGATTATTTTTTGACGGCGTCACGTGAGACATTACTACTACTTTCTAAAGTATACCTACGTAACCTGGTGATCTACTTACATAGGTTTGTATTGTTGTGATCGTTGACCGGGTTTGTTACATGGTTTTGGAAGTATTTTATTCATACCAAAGGAGCACAGTTTATACAGCCCCGCGTGGCGATTTCATTCCAAAAACAATACCCCCAAATTAAAACTTGGTTATGTACTGACAATTCAACTCATGTATAAAAAATCGCATAAGCCGCAGTGAAATTGTCACTTTGACAGCGGCAAAAGTTACCTGCAACTTTTCCAGCGACAAACGCACTAGTGGTTTTTTCACTTATTCATTTTCGAACCAATTATCGTATTATCCGTTCCCATATGACTAGTTTGACGTCTGTCAATAATTGATTAGTTTGGTGAATTTCTTGTTCGTTAAATTGTCCTGCCGAATTACACTCGAGGTTTGTATTTAAACCGAGTAAATTTGGGTTGTTGCAATTCAAATCTGTTTCCTTTTAGCAATTGAACTCGAAAAACTGTCAACCTAAAAATGCTCCACCTTCGGTGTCGCATTTTTATTAGTTGACAGTTTTTCTCGTCTAATTGCTAGGCAACAGATTTTCATTACCTTAACAACCCAAATTTACTCGGTAAAATACAAACCTCTTGTGCAATTATAAGTGACAATTCAATGCGATTATTCAATGACATTTGTCAAACTTCCACCAGTGAAATGACGCGAAATTTTGTCGTATTAACCGGAACATTCTTCTTAGTTTGTTAATCAATTTCGACAACCGACTTATCACCACATCTTTTAATTTAATCACTCATAACGAATTAGCTTGGAGCACAAAAGTTCGAATAGAATCAATAGCAAAATGAAAAGCAACTTCCATAATATATTTTGACGTTTATTGTTGTCATGGAAATACATCCGCGTGGGTAATTATGCTTAATTTTTCTTTTGATTCATTGAATAGTCCTCCAAATACCATTCGTAGTCGAAGTATTTGTAGATTATTTTTGAGCTGCTGCTCCACTCATGCTAGTTACGCTTTTTAATACCACTCGCGCAAGCGCTCGTGGTATTAAGCAGCGTAACTAGCATTCGTGACAGCACCTCAAAAATATTCGACAATACTTCGACTACTTATGGTATTATATATGAATATTATATAGTATTTAGAATAAATATAACTTTACTTTGAGCTGTACTGTTTTATTTTTTATTTTTTTTTAATTTTATTATCCCTCTCTTGTTTTGGGCCCTCAACAGGCATGCGCCCAATTACAGAGTGACCCGCATAATGCTATTTAGAGGTGCCTCTGCAGAAGGTCTTAAGATGGTCTATACTACTCCGGTATTTACCTTACGAATTAGGAAAACTGCAGAAAAACCTAATTCGGAGTAGCCGGTAGAATGCTCGGAACTGGCCTGAGGTAATTTCCATCTCCGCCACAGATGAAAAATTCACCTCAACCCAGGTTCGAACACCCGACCTTCGGATTTATAACCCAATGCTCTTACCACTTCACACTTCTGAGGCTCAAAACCGAATTTCTTCAACAATCTCCGCGGCATAATCCCTACCTATTATTTGTTAACTAACTAATGCCCTTTTTCAAATGGTAATTAATTGTTCTAAAGAGAAAATCTGTTTGGTTTTGCTCCCCGTTGCACACGAAATTTAACACCGTAAATTACCTTTATCTTAAAAGATTACAACGTAGTCTTTCTTCGAACCTTGAGTCAGCATCGCGTCTCCTTCATGACATTATTGATGAAAAAGCTTTGGGTTGCAACTTGGGTTGTGATTTTGACGGTAGTGATTCGTTTAACCCGTGTAGGGGCGGGGTAGAATACTCCTACCGCAGCAGACACTGCGTGTCGTAAGAGGCGACTAAACAACTGCAAGTCTACCGGAAGCGTGGGTGGAATGCGGCTACGGATTGTCGATTTTGCTTTACTTTACCGATTTGTACCTTTAGTTGAATCCAGACGCAAGGGTTGGTTTGGATTCGAAATGTGGTCGGAGTCTCACCCTTACGCCACCAATTTCAGTCATTTTTTCCGTTTTTACTCTTCCGATGAAGTGTATGGGAGTTTGAAAAATGTTATTAGGTCCCCGTTGATAGACCTTCCAAAGTTCGCGTCGCTTTAAAACTTTTCCCTTTAGCTACCGCCAGTTTCCCCTTAAAATTTCATTATTATTAGAAGAGGGATTGAAAGTGCCGTTACTCACGATAATGATGGAGGTGGGATCTGTGAAATTCATGTATAGAATAATTTTTTGGTGTGCAAAATAGTCTTTTTCCTAAACCGATTTTTCGTCTGTCTCTTTAATTTGAAGCGTATTTGCGCCCCTTTTGATTTTTTCACAGCAACCATAAAAGCATCTAACAGCTTTACGTAGTGTTGTGGGTTGCGTACCGAAAAGAATTGAAATATCGAATAATATGCAGGGTGTTCTGTTAGAAAATGCAACTTTGGTGTGCCACGCCGTAACCTTATAACCATCCTGTATAAATAAAATTATGACTGCCTATTGAAGAACCTTCAAACTTTTGTGGAACACTTTCTTTGGTGTCTTATATATTTTCTTCTCGATAACCGAAAAACAATTGAACTTAGGTACATTACGATTCTTCTTTGCTCAAACATTGAGAAAAGAATTGAAAAACCCAATAAAATACAGGGCGTTCTATTAAAAACATGCAACTTTTTTTTGATATCTTGTATATTTTCCTCTATAGGCGATCGTTTTCTTACTTATAATAATATACAGTGTTATTGATTAAAGAGTAGACATAGGGATTCACGTGTATTGGTTTTCTCTATGTCCACTTTTAAATGACTTCTGAAGGGCGCCTAATTTTATGCCACAAAAATAACTTCTTCAGACAAATAAAGATCTGGCTGTCATATAATTTGAATATAGTGGCTTTGGCTCCTGTATTTTTATTATGGTTCGTGTGCGATGTATTCAACTGATGAAAAGGTTGATATTGTCAATTGACATAGTGCCGGTAACAGCTTAAGGTTTATTTGTTTCAAGAAGTTATTTTGGTTGCATAAAATTAGGCGCCCTTTAGATGAGATTTTGTCATTTAAAAGTAGACACAGGGAAAAACAATGCACGTAAAATCCCTATGTCTACTTCTTAATAAATATCCCTGTTTAAGAATAATATTCATATTATATAAGATTATCGAACCGTTCGTCCGTTCGTCCATACGAGGTCTTAACCCTCCTACACTTTCCAATATGTTTAGTTTGTTCTTTTTGAATTCGGTAGCTTCTAGCTCTGGCACCTGAGCCAAGAAAAATCTTCACGATAAACGCATGTGCAGATTGCGCAATGCTAACTTTTTTATTTATTAAGATAATTTTTTTAACCATACCGTTGCTTCTAGTAAAGACAAACATATCGCATAAATTCGATGACAACTTTCTTATTTACGGAGATATTTTTTTGTATTTTAACTAGAGACGCTTCCATCAAAGGCAAACATATGCATTATTGTAAAAATCAGATGTGATCGTGCAATGTCAACTTCCTTCGTTCCGTTGTTTCGTTGAATGTACCCTTAATTTGAGTAACTGACTGAATGCGCGTTTAGTGTGTTAAGAGGGGACAAATATGTACGCTTGATGTACATACGTACAGTTGTGTACAAATCTATAACATACAACGTACGTACAGGGTACGTCTGTAATTTTGGTCAACTTCACTGTAATCGTAATGCAAACGCAAAGGAATATCCATCCGCGCACGGTTATTACTTATTAGTTATACAGTCACGCGGTTCTTCAATCGAAAATTGACTGATCCACACGGCTACTTCTCAAATAACACAAGGACGTACATTGCAAATACATAGTACGTACAGCCATGGATTTACGGAGGTACACTTATGGTTTATGTACATACGTACATTGCACGTACAATGGTACGTTATTTTTGCACCACTGACATACTAGGTACGTACTTTGCCGTACGTACTATGTACGGGAGCAAGAGTAATTAGTACATTATACATACATAACAGTATGTCTAATGTACCTACGGCGGAATACGTATCTAGCTTGTACAAAGTAGTGTAAAAATAACGTACCATGTACGTACTATGTATTTTGTATTTGCAATGTACGTAATTGTGTTATTTGGGATATTGTTGTTAATGTTAGCTTATTTAGAAAACTGTGAATCAGAGGCGGCCCTTCCGCTTCAAATGTTATAAATCTGGCAGTCCTTTCGAGCGAGTCCTTCTGAAATGCATTTTTTTCCAAAATTATGTGGAATTGATGTCGAAGAACAACTGTCTGGTCGCGCTGTACTTTCCCCTTGGGAACAAAATATAAAAAAACAAAAGAGCGTTAAACGTTTATTATCAGTGCTATCTAGCCACAATGTTTACAATATAGCAGGAATACCAATTAAAACAGTATCTTCAACTTATTTGTTTAATTATATCAATGATTACGAGTATCATTACTCTCTGACCCTTTAACGCTCGCAAAATATTCTCCAATTTCTTTTATAAGGCAGTTGCGTAAATTAATTGCGATCTCCCCGGTCACTTCCTCATCTTCGGTTCTACACTTGTCAAATACCTTCTCGGCAACATCTATCGGTGTCGGCCTTTCAGCAATATGTTTTATAACGGCATCCCTCACATATTTGCCGTCTTTAATAAGATTCTGCCTTTGATACATGCACAACATTAGGGCGTGCAAGCGGGAATCGCTTCGGACGACGATATCGTTCTCGTCGAAAACTCCCTCGAGGTCGGAAATTTCCACCTTGTTCTCCTCCCGGCAACGTTGCGCATGTTCGTTATCAAAATATTCCGAGAGGACGTGGGTCGCCTAAACGGAAAGATCAAGAAATGCTCACTTACATCACTGGTAACTAACCTGGAGCAAAACGCACAGGAGTGTTATACGCCATAGAACTGCTGACATGTTGCCCGTCTTGATACTTTCCAACCAATAAAGTATACTCTAATTGGAGACCAGTCAGTTGCAAGTTTGAACTTTAACCTACTACTGGTCTCGTTACGGAGAAGTACGCTTATCACCATGATTCTACCAGGAATTGTTATCAACAAAACAATAAGGGTTTGGGAAAAGTTCAATAAAATACAAAAACTTGTTTATACAACCTCAGTTAACAATAACATTTTTTTTATTTGAGACAGGAAACTTTGAAGCTCGAGGTATATTGACGCCTTTTTGAGTTAAAGTTTATAGGATCAGTATTCTATATAATCTAGTTTTTTGGAAATGGCTTGGGAGTTACTGTAGGAAACGAAGGTTCTATGGATGTGTTTAAATTCACAACTAATGCTATCTTTTGTTGGGTTCCACCACAAGATCTATATAAATAAAAATAAATATTCGTAATAAATAAAAATTAATGATTGCATGTATGCCCGCGAAGGTTTTCATATAAATAAATCGGTGTAAAGTTCGGAGAGTGTGCGAGGTGAGGCGGCGCAGCCGCTGAAACCGAGCGTATGTCCCATCCAAGAAAACGATATTTCCCAAAGGCGATACGAAGTGCGCTGGGTCTGCTGGAAAAACATAAAGTACACACAGTATATGTGGAAATAGCATTTCTGATTGTTTTCCCTCCTTTGATGATCTAAAAACTTTCTCTCAGAAGTGAAAGTTTACCTTGGTACCAACATGACAATTTTCAATACGACAATGAGGTATCAGAGATTGATTCGATGGGAGAGTGATAGGGATTGTAAAGTTTATCTTATTACGACTTATGTTTTTACCGTTCAAATGCCATGAGGGTTCATTTTTGTTCTAAGAGGTCGTAGGACTTTGTCTTGTAAATTAGAAAAAGGTTCCTGTTGTATCATTCTGACAGCACACTTTTCTGCATCTTGAATCTTAGGTACTTCTAAATATTTGAATTTTACAATAATTTAGTGTTACCGTTTCCAACTGTAACTTCTGATCCATGCCATCAAGTTAAGTATTTGTTGATATTAAAAAACATCTATAATTAATGCCAGTGAAGAATAATGTACAGGGTGAGGCAACGATTGCGCGGAGTAACTTAATGCCTTGAAGATAAGATTTTTTGATAGAGTGCTTTTGTATTATAGTATGGTTGAATATTCTCCACATTTTAAAAATATTTAATTATACAGGGTGCACCCAAAAACTAGGGCGCCCAAATGGTACATTTTTTTAATAGAACCCCCTGTATTTGAGTGCATTTTTGAATTCTACGTGTAATTGTACGTCTTTTTTATTATATGGATAATATCCGAAAAGCTTTAAAGATAATTCGATTTGTAAGAAAAATTGGGCATTTGCAAGCGTCAGTATATTGTCAAAATTATTACTTAAATTTTGATTCCAGGTTTTATATCTTTTATCCTGGGTTAAGTAAAAGTCAAATAAATACATCTACTATAAAACATTAAAAAAATAGCTTACAGGGTGTTTTTTTCTAGATCCAAGGTTACAAAACTTCATATTAAAAAATCTCACTTTTTTTAAATGGAACACCCTAAGTATTTTTCTGTCATCTTTTAGCTCCTCCAAAAACCCTAAACTTTTTATAATAATGACCTATACCTATCTCTGATAGTTTTCGAAATATCTTGGTTTTCCTGGTTTTTATATTCTAATCTTAAATAAGTTATACAGTGTGTCCCCAGATGGACTGAACAAGAGGGAAAAAATTTTAACTTTACGCAAAAATGTCATTCTTTATAAAAATTTTTGCTTGCCTCAAAACCACCTATTCTGAAATAAAAATCTAGATATTTCTTTTAGCACCTGAGAAAATTACAGAAAACGCAAAATCTACAGCGGAAATTTTTCTAAGTTGCATGTTCTTGATTAAATCAGACTATCATTGTATCTTCCATGGCAACCTGATAAGTAAATCAAGTTAAAAAAGACACCTTAGAGCTTAAGAAAAAGAATGACATTTTTGCGTAAAGTTAAAATTAAAAAATTTTTCCCTCTTGTTCAGTTCATCCTGGGACACACTGTATGTAATTTACATAATAGTGAGGTGGCCATGCAAAAAAATTCAATTTTTATCTGCCTCGTTCAAATCTAAAATCATATTTATTAATTCATCTTTCTAATAATTCATTTAAGTCTATAAAAACTGGAGAATAAATTTGATAGTAAAAACCTAAATAAATATCTTGATTTTTCTACTTTTTATATTTTAATCTGAAATAAGTTCTAATTTACATAATAACGAGGTGAATATGAAAAAAATTAAACTAAATATCACTGACTGGATGACATTGGGAGTTAAATTAAATTTGCTTTGTAATCAAATGTTTTTACTTATTCTCTAGTTCTTGGACTTAAAATAAATTGTTTGAAAAATAAATTAATCGATAGGATTTGCCTTTTGGACGAGATAGATAAAAATTTTTTGCATGTTCACCTTACTATTATGTAAATTACATATAACTTATTTAAGATCAGAATATAAAAACCAGGAAAACCAAGATGTTTCTAAAACTAGCAGAGATATTATTATCAAAAGTTGAAGGTTTTTGGAGAAGCTAAAAGATGACAGAAAAATACACAGGGTGTTCCATTAAAAGAAAGTGAGATATTTTAGTATGAAGTTTTGTAGCTTTGGATCTAGAAAAAAACACCCTGTAAGCTATTTTTTTAATGTTTTATAGTAGATGTATTTATTTGACTTTTACTTAACCCAGGATAAAAGATATAAAACCTGGAAATTTAAGTAATAATTTTGACAATATACGGACGCTTGCAAATTCCCAATTTTTCTTAAACATCGAATTATCTTTAAAACTAGCTTTTCGGATATTAACCATATAATAAAAAAAGACGTACAATTACACGTAAAATTTAAAAATGCATTCAAATACAGGGGGTTCTATTTAAAAAAATGTACCATTTTGGCGCCCAACTTTGTGAGCGCACCTTGTATAATTCCAAATATTTTTAAAATTTGGAGAATATTCAACCATATCATAATACAAAAGCACTCTATCGAAACATCTTATCTTCAAGACATTAAGTTACTCCGCGCAATCGTTGACTCACCCTGTACGTATATGAACCGTAAGTGTACGTGAACTGTACATACGTCGGGAAATCCAGCGCTGTACGTACCGTGTATTTGCAATGTACGTACTTATGTTATTTGGGTTGGTCGGCTCTTGGCTATCGGTTTATCGATCTATCGCATGGCTGTTGGTTGATGCTCTTCCGGGATGATGGCTTTACATAACTAATTCGATTGGTCAGATCTGGATTTGAAATCAAGTTCCGACGTCTGCGATGTTACAGGTGTCTTCAAGTACGTGCGCAATCTCGTACGGGAAGCTCTCTGGTTTTCTAGAGATGATCTCGTTACACATCCCCCTCGATTCATTGGCTTTCAGTAGCCGTTAGATCAACATGCGGCCTCAAAATTGCCGTACTAGCAGTATGTTGCTCCTTGTTCAACCGAAGAGTGAAACTAGCAATCGATTCTCTCTCTCTCTCTCTCTAAGTAGATCTTTTTGAAAGTGCAGTAAATTCCACATTTATCTACTTCTGCAGAGTTTTCAACGACATATAGATTTGGATTCTACAATCAAACTTTTTTCTTTTAAATTTGGGCTTTAATATTGAAATTGTTGTAATGGATTATCGGAGTAAAAAGATAGCGTATATACCACAGGACTAAAGTTGGTTCTCATCTCTCGGGTGCTTGTTGCCCTCAACACCATTTCGGGGAACAAACAAGAGTTTTAAAGACTACAAGAAAATGTGGAAATATCCAAAGGTTCCATAGAAAAATCCTTGCTTATAGGAAATTTATGAATCATCCTATATCAAGGCAAATCCACTTTATTTTTGGTTGAAGTACAAATGCAAATATATTGGTTAAAACGTCCTAGTTTGCCAGTAGGTAGTACAATCAACTAAATCTGAATTTAGTCAAAGCTTGCGAATCTCATCGATGACACAGTTCGCAAAATTAACAACCCTCTCCCCGTCTTCAGCACCCTTAACGTATACGCACAAGTCGTAGACCTTTGCGGCTTCCGCAGCATGATTTCTGGCGTTGGGATTGTAAAACGGCACAACCTTCGCGGCAAGATAATCAACCGACGGTTCCTTAACGAATTTGCCATCTTTCAGCATGTTCAACCTCGTAAACATACACTTCTTGTGGGAGCGAGCGATCGGATTGTGAAGAATGTAGTAAGCATCGTCCATAACATTGTTTAGGTCACTTTCGGTATGGTTTAACTCTTTCAGGCATTTGTTAATGTTGTCTTCCATAAAATGCTTAGGAAATTCCACCGCTGAAACCTAAAATTAGGAAACTTTGAAAATTGGTTTTCAATTTTTGGCAACCTACCTTAAAGAAGGCACTGATAACGGTTAGATACCAATGCGAAACGTGCATGTTGATCTATGACCTATTTGTACGAATTTGTTGTAGATTATTACCAACCCTTTGATGCCATTTGACACTCTATTACAATAATGCTTCTGTGAATGATTTATTTCTCTTTACTTACTTGACTTAGTCTTCAAACACAGGGAGGTAAATGTTAGAAATAATTCCAGCTAATAGTAGTAATCCCTTCGCGTTAATTCTCAAAATGTTACTTTTTTTACCTTTGCATTATTCTAGTGAAAAAACAAAATATGCTGATGGTTCAAAAGATCTTTAAAATAGTTTTCCGCACAACAAACTGTGGTCTTATTTCATTAGTAGTTTATCATAACGTCAAAAGAGTTTGAACGTCCAAATCATGTAGGGTCACGTTAGATCAAATAACAAGTGATAGGAAAATAACATTTAGTGAAATCAATTCGCTTTTACCAGATACCGGAATCTCGTTTTTTGGCAGTCTTTAATTAAAATTACCTTTTTGGCTAAATTGGAAAAGCACAGAATCATTTGTGGAGTCGGTTTGTGCTTTCGCAATTGTATTACACGTTTTTTTGAAACAAATCATGTTAATTCTAAGAGTAGGTACATTGGGACCTTCTATGGAAATAAGCCTTTAAACTTATGCACAAAACTTAAAAATTGGCGCACTAGTG